CAGGCAGTTGACCTCTACATCCAGGGAGCTGCACTTAAAAGGGAAGATGTTAACATCGATCTGAAAATTCAGAGAGTAACTTATTAATGGCCTGAAAGCACTTAGGACCTATAAATCGCAGTAAGAATCTTTCCTAATAATAATAGATAGGTAGCTTAAGACCAAGCATGGTAGCCAACTGGCATAGTGAAAATGAACCATCCAGGAGCCGCTCTGGTGTTCTATGGAATTTAAGGCGCTGGGGACATTCTTCCCCCACCAGGGGGGGTTTTGCCAAAGGCCAAATACATCAAAGCAAGGGATACTTGCAAACTTTCCTTTTACTCCATTCCCTCTGGGTACATTGTAACAACTGGGTATGACTGAAAGCTGTGTGTCAAAAGTCTCCAGATTCCTCATTGCCTCTGGGCTTTTTGTAGGCTACAAAGGTACAAAGTGAGATTTATGTAATGAAATATGTCAAAGCAGAAGATGCCCCTAGGTCTCGAGTGTGTGCTTGTCTAGAGATTCAAGAGGAGCACACAAAGCATGGCTGCCCTGTCACCCACCCTGGTGACTTGGACAATGTGCAGAAATGCTACTATGATGCTAAGCACTTCAAGCACAAAGAGCCCAATATAAGATAACACTGAGTGGTGGCCCTTCCTTTTGGATGTGCAGTCTGCATACTCACTTCCTATGTTTGGGGAATTATTCTCCCTTATGCAGTTGGACTTTGAAAACAGAACTGGTAATGAAAAAACTGGACCAAAAGCACTCTGTGGAAGAGAGCACACATAACCGTAGTCTGTTTATTTTCATTGAATAGTATTACATTGTATATGGCTATATTACTGTGCCTTTATCCACTCACCTCCTGATGGGTGTATTTTCATTTGGGTAGGGTATGGATGATTTGCTACCTAGTATCTTTGTTTTCTTTTTCTATACTAGGGATTGAACCAAGGACATCTCAATTGCTAGGCGAGGTTTCTGCCATTGAAAGACATCCTGGAGACTCCTAGTATGTTTTTAACGAGTTCATTTTTCTAATTGAATTAGCTAGAGTTAGTTTCTATTGCTTGCAATTGTCCCCCTGCAACAAAAAAAAAGTCCCCAGATCTCATTAGCTGAGGGTACAAACAAGATCACTCTTATGGTTTGTGTCTAGTTGTCCCCCCAAAGCCTCGGGCAGTTATGGGGCAGATTTCTAGATTTTGTGATTAATTCATGATCCAGTGCTGGGATTCTGGGTATGAATGCTACATCCGGCCTGGGGCAGATAGACTGAAGGCGACATAAGGGAGGCAGACTTGCTTTCTGTAGCCATTGTCGCCTCCTCCTACTTGCTCTCTTTCTCTTTGCCTCCACCACGAACTGCTGCCCTCTACCCTGTGCCTCTCTGCCTTGGAGCCAGCTGAGTATGGATTGAAACCTCCAGTAACTGTGAGCTAAATAAATCTTTCCTTCCTTCATTATGGATATCAAGTATTGCTCCCAGCAATGAGAGAATAACCGAGTCACTCTACTGCTTATTTTGATAGTGAAATGCCCCACACCTATATAACCATGGTATCCCAGGTTCCATTTTGACACGATGGGGGGACATCCCCAAGCACCCTGTGCTACTGCAGCAGGACTCAGTGCTAGAGCACCTGCTCCCTCATTGCTTCCCTGTGTGCTAGTGGGAAATGGCTTGTGAATCCAGCTCTTCCCGATTTCTATTCCGAGAGAGACCTGAAGGCCCCACTCATCCAAGAGTGTACTGAGCCAAATGCTAATCCTACATATACCCCTCCCTCGATAGCACTCGATGCTGCCATGGGGGAGACTTGGGTATGGTCGGGGTGCTGTGTTTGTAACCACTGTGCCCTCCAGCCTTGGACCCTCTGTCGAGTCCAGCTCACATGTGCAGCATGCCTCACTCAGCCACTAACCAGGTGTCCATGCCTACAATTATACCTTTTCTGGAATGTGACATAAATAGAATCACATGAGATATAACCTTTGACCTGGCTTTTCACTTAACGTAACGCTTATGTGGTTCAGGTCTGCTGTTCCATGGTGCTTCGCATTCCTTTTAATTGCTGAGCAACAATCCCCTCAGAAGGCTGACCCATATTTCATTTATCCACTCATTCACACTTGATGGATATTTGGGTTTAACTAGAGTTGGACAGTTACTAATACAACTGCTGTCTGCATTAGCTTTTAAGTGCTTCTGTAGATGTGTGTTCCTCTTTCTTTTGAAATACACAGGAGTGAGTTTTCGAGGTCAAAATGAGTCACAGATCTGAATGTAACCATTGAAAACTACATAACTTCCATAGTAACATTTTCCAATAAAATTCCTACAGTGATGGAAGTATTTTATAATTCTGTGCTGCTCAACACAGTAGCCATTAGCTATGTGTGGTACTGAGTACTTGAGGAGTTCCAGTGGCACAATTGGTAAGCATGTGGTACTTATACTGAGTATTTGAAATGTGACAAAAGGGGCCAGTGAGATAGTCCAGGGGTCTAAAGGACAAGCTTAGGCAGGTGCAGGGGACCGAAATTTGATCCCCCGCGCCACATGCTGCACCAACCCTGTCCTCAGGGTGGGCTGAGCCAGCCGAAAGAAAGAGAAAAAGGAAAACAAAAAAAGAAAAAAGAAAGGTGACTAAAGAGCTGAATTTTAAATTTCACTTAAATTTTAATTAACTTAAATTTAAGTAGCCTTATTTGGCTACTGGCTACATATCAGAAAGTGTACTTCCCAGAAAAAAACACTGAAGAAAATCTCTGCGGTTTTGCTTTTGACCAGGGCTATTTAGCACACAAAACACATAAGCCATAAAAGATAAGCCACAGAGAAAATATTTGCAAAGCATATATCTAATCATGTATCTAAAGCATGTATTTAATTGTAATGGATCATTACAATTTAAAAATTAGAAAACAAATCCAATTAAAAGAAAGGAAAAATATTTGAACTGACTTCACCAAACAGATATGGACAGCATGAAAATATGTTCAACACTGGTATTCTTTAGAGAAATTCAAATTAAAAGTATGTTCAGTGAGCTTAACACTTACCCAGTGGGGACAGAAAATTTAACCAAATAAATAGACATGAACTTGAAAAGTGGGATAACTGGCGTGGTGCTATGGAACCCCTAGCTGGAGGGAGATGGGGACTGAGTAGGCTCCTCTGAGAAGGGACAATGACACCGAGGGAGAAGGGTGAGGAGAGTTACTACAGAGAGGGAAGGATAAAAGCCTTTGCTTCAGAAGGCAAGCCTATGAAGAAATTAAGCTGGAGTTGACTGCAAGACACAAATAACGGTGGCTGGAGAAGAGGAAGAAAGAGAAAAAGGAAGAGGACTTGAAGAAGAGGAAGTAACTCGACACCAACCAGGAGACTTGATCCTCCCAAGCCTGAGAAAAGGGATGAGGTGGAAAAGTAGGTGGCCAGGTGCGTGGTGGACCTTTAGGCCTTGAGGTGCCGTTCCCTCGACATGGCAGAAAGTGTGGGTGGTTGAGGGTTACATGTAGGGCCAGAGGACCATGGAAGGCTGCAGTGTGACACTGGCTATCATGAGTTCTTAGCCATCACTGGTGTCTACCCTCTTCTTCAGAGCCCTCTAGAAAAGAGAAGGGTCCCTGTATCAACTTCCAAGATGTTACTCATCAGCTGTAGGTTCTGACTCAATTCATACAGAAACCACAACTTGGCAGAGTGTAGCTCTTTTGTGTCAGCAGCTGGCCCTTTGTGTCACTCAGAGCCATCAGTCAAGCAGCAGGTCTCAAACCTCTTCTGACCCCCTGGGGTGGCAGCTCCAGCTGTTTTTCAGTGCTCTCTGTTGTTCTCTGCTACTGGCTGCTTTCGGTGTTACCAGCTCCTGCTTCTGCTTGCTTTTGGCCTCAGAGGCGTTGGGTGGTAGCAGCTCTGGGTGTGCCAGGTCAGTATGCTCTCCTTGAGAAAGAAATCACAAATAGGCAAACGTATGCCACCAGCAAGCAGTTTTATTAGGACTTATGTTACCACCCAAGGTGAGATGGTGCAGAGAGTGAGCTCAGCACAGCTATGGGAAAGTTGCCTAGGAAGAATAAAGGCAGACTCACGTATGTGTAGGGTCAAACTTTCTGTATGCTCACGGGGAGGCGCAGAGCTCTTTGTGGGCCTAACTGAGGGAGGCTGCAAGAGGGGCAGAACTACCCAGAGCAGCTGCAGGACAGTCAGGAGGGATGGGTCTGTGACAAAAGACCCCGCTGCACGTATCTCCTGTAGGGCCTGTGGGACGCCAGATACAACCAGGCCAACTGCAAAGTGTTTAGGGCGACACAGAATAAAAGCATTTTGGGGGGAGCCTCAGGCCCTTCTCTCACCTCACAAGGGGCATGGTCTTCCTTCCACCCTCCTGTATGTGAAGAGAATGAAGGGTTACCACATGGTGATTAACACAAAAGCAAAGGGACAGCAGAGCTGGTATATGGCATGGCCTGGGCCTTAATCTGGGGCACTTCAGTCCACATCTCAGCATTACTAATTAATAGCTTTGGGTCTTAAGCAGTTACTTGACTTCCTCAGTTTCCCCACCGTAACGTGAGGGTAATAGCTGGTATCTCCTCCAGTGGTGGGGAAAATGTAAATCTGCGAAGTTCTTAGGAGAGTCTAGCACAAAGTTAGCATTATATATGCGTTAGAGAAAATATAATAGCCAGATGTGCGGGCCTACCCAAATTTCTTGGACTCCATAGGGGGTGCTGATACAACCTATAAAAGAAGAGAGCTCGAATTGGGCAGAATTTCCAGCCATGCTGCGGGACGTTGAAATTTAAGGGGCTGGTTGTTTGTCCCAAGTTCCTGGATCACTTCTCTTTCTGGTCCACCCGCACATCCGTGACCATTGCATTATAGGGAAAGCGCGGGTGCTGAGTGCAGGGCGGCTGTGCTGTCCTACAAGGCGAAGGGACGGGCATGGGTGGGAGAGGGGTTGGGGCCGCGGCCGGGAACCACCTCACCGTCGTGGGGAGCGGAGCGGGGCTCCAGGACAATGTCCCTGCCGCTGCATTACTGGGTCCTGAGCTGTGTGCTCCGGCCTTGGCGCTAGAAGGAGGCAAAGCAGGCGGTACCTTAGCACGACCTACCTGGGCAGAGGTCACGACGACGGGCAACAAACACGCCCGCCCCAACCCGTAGTCCTCCAAACAACAAGAAAACAAAGAAACAAAACCGTCCTTCAACAGTGAACAGGACAGGGCAGCCGGGCGGGCTCTCGGTCTCCGGCAGAGGCCGCTGCAGCCGCCGCGGGACGCCGAGTCACCGGACCGCGTGGCCTTCTAGTCGCGCCTCCGCGCCGCCCGCCACCTGCAGGTGAGTCTTGGATCAGGCGCGGCCCAGGTGCGGCCCAGGCGCGGCCCAGGTGCGGTCCAGGTGCGGCCCAGGTGCGGCCGGGTCCCCGCGTCGCGTGAGCTCCGCCAGGCCTCGGCGCGGCCCCGTGCGCCGTCCTCAGTGCGCATGCGCGACGCGGCGCCCCGGACCCCCCCCCCACGCCCGCTCCCGGCCGGTGCCTGCGTCAGTGGGGCGCCGCGACTAGAGGGACGCGGGAGTGTCCCGGAGGTGTCGGGGCCCAGGGGTACGCCAGAGTTCTGAGGGGGACAGCGGAGGCCACAGGCCGCGAGACACGGCTGGGCGCGCACTCGGGGAGCCGCGGGGGTGGGGCGGCGCGGACGAGCTCGGGCTGGGTGCGGGGGGTCGAGCTCGGGTCCGGGCGCAGGGGCCAGGCGGGGGCCAGGCGGGGGTCGGGGGCCGGGGACGGGAACGGGGGCTGTGCGGTGTGGGCGGAGGGGACTCGGGGTTGGGGCGTGCGCCTGGAGCTTGCGAGGCTTCGGAGCAGAGGCCTGGGGACGCGGGCCGGGGGAGACCTGCAGGAGACGGGGGCCGCGAGCCAGGCGTCCCCCTGCGAGGGCGTCAGCTCGTCCCGAGGCTGGAGCGTGGGGTTAGCCAGGTGGAGGTCACCGGGAACGCTGAGGAGCCCGGCCTGCGCTTGGCCTTGCACTTGCGGAGGCGAGCTACCCAGAAGGCTGAACACCTGTGAACGTTCTTGCAGCCCCTTTGCAATATTCTTTACCATGTATTTTTCCAGTCCTTAACATTTTAAAATTTTCTGTTGAAAAATACTTGTATATATTTACAGCGTATTAAGTGATGTTTTGGTATATGCATGCATTGTAGAAAGAGTAAATAAAGCTGATCGACGTATCTATCACCTCACCTATTGGATTTTTGCGGTGAGAACGTTTGTTCTTAGCAGTTTTGAAGTAAGCAGTGTTATCGACTAAGGTTACCAGGCCTAAAACTTACTGCTCCAGTCTAATTAAAACTTCGTGCCCTTTCACCAATATCGTCCTTTTCTCCATTCCCTCCCTCCCCTCCAGCTTCCTGTAACCAGGTAACCACCGTTCTATTCTCTTGGGCATTTTTATACTTTACAAGTATTAAGTATTAAAGTATTTTTATACTTTACATGTATTTATCTTTCATGCCTGGCTTATTTCATGTAACATGGCTCTCCACAGTCAGCCCTGTTGTCAAAAATGGCAGAATACTCCTCCCCCTACCCTTTAGGGGCTGGGGATCAAATCCAAGGCTCCCCTAAGATGTATCCCGAGCCCCAGAATGTCCCATTTTATAGGCCATGTAGTATCCCATTCTGCGCATGTTCCGCATTGTGTTTATCCGCTTCTCTTGGTGGACATTCAGGTTGCTTCCCTACCATGGCTCTCGTAAATAATGCTAAAATTAGCATGTGAATACAGAGACCTCTGCCAACACACTGATTTCAGATCCTTTCGCTAAGTACATAGAAGAATTGTTAGATTGTATGTAATAATAGTTTTAGTTGAGGAACCTCCATACTGTTTTCCAAAATGGCTACAGTAATTTATACTGCCAAATTGTACATTCTACAAGGTTCCTTTTAGCCACATTCTTTTTTTTTTTTTTTGGCAGAACCAGGGACTGAACTCAGGCCTTTGCACTTGCTAGGCAAGCACTTATTCTACTGAGCTATCTCTCCAGCCCCTATCCACATTCTTGATAGCATGCATCTTTCATATTTTTGATACTAACCCATTTAAAGGGGTGTGGTAATATTTTACTGTAATTTGGTTTCCATTTCCCCATAGGTTAGAGCTATTAAGCATTTTTATCTCTATCTGTTGAGCATTCATGTTGGTTTCTTTTGAAAAATACCTGTTTGGATCCTTGGCCTATTTTAAAAATTGTTTTCCTTCTGTTGAGTTCCTTGTGTAGTTTAGGTATTAGCCCCTTATCAGATGTTACATGTATTTTCTCCTAGTCTGAGTGTTATTTCTTTCACTGGGCAGAAACTTGCATTGATTTATTTTTGCTTTTGTTGCCTGTTTTGAGAATAATTTGGGGGCTTGCAAACATACTGCAAAAAAGTACAGAGTTCCTGTACACTATTTACTCAGTTTCCCCTAGTGTTGCAGGACATCAAGTAAAAGTAACAGACATAGGACAAAAACGAGATGGCTCAGTAGCCATGGCTGAACTCAGACACAAACAGAACACTGTGTAAACCACTCAAAAGGATCAACCACCACCCCTCCTGGCTGATCTGAGGGATGCCATTTGCTGACTGTCAGCCTCATGCTAGGCCTTCAGCCTTTTAGTTAAGGCTCATTAAGGTGGCCAACCATAGTGGCTGTTTCTTAGCAGCAGCCAGTCTGGGACAAAGCTGTAGTTCTGTGAACTCCTCCCTGCATGAGCCAACACCACCCCAAGCCCACCAGCATGCTTGGCAGTTCTTCCTGAGATGCCCTGCAGTTCTCTCCTGGCATCCTGCTCAGCCACAGATGTGTTACCAGTGCCAGGCTGGGGGGATGGACAGTTCATACAGCACAGTACCCTGTGCTGAAACCCTCACCTCCGCTGTTGTCTCCGTCCATCCTGTGTCCCACTCCACATGAATTCTTTTATTGGTTTTTTATGATTCTTTTTATAGACACAAATTCAAGAAGGTACTAAAGTATACTGTTATATTCCTTTTCCTGTCTCTGACAAAAGACTATCTACATATTTCTCCCAACATTAAGAGCTCTGTCATAAGGAAGAGCTTCCATTCTGTTTTTTAAAACAGGATAAAGTTAAGGATGTAGCTTAGTGGAACAAACTTCTTGAGTTCAATTTCTAGTATTAAAATATAAATAAAAATTGTGGAAAACACATGTAATGGAAGGTTGACCATTCTAACCCTTTATAAAGAGTTCAGTGGTACATCCACATTTTGTACAACCAATCTTCAGAAGTCTTCATTTTATGCAATGGAACCCCTGTGCCTATTATTTTGGGGCCTGAGGTTGCATTTTGCTCCTTCTCTTTGTCATTTTGTATAGCACTGTCCTCTGACCTTCGGTGTAGAGCTTTGGTGCACTTATAACTTTAGCACCTACTGAAATTCAGGTACTACAGATCTATGAAGTTTGAATTCATCCAGTTGTGCCTGGCTTGGATCTGGCTGCTGTGCTCACCTTCTTCCTGCTGCAGCCCTTGGAAGTGAACCCGCTGTTGCCCTCTGGCAAAATGTTCTGCTCCTGGATTAGCTGGGTGGTTCTGGCCCCTAGCCTCTCTTCAGGGACTTCAGCTGCAGAGTTTCACCCCAAGCCTGTATGCTAGACCTGGGCTGTGTCTGGAGGGGTCCAGCATGTGCCTATTATTTTGAAGTGTGATTTACACACAGTAAAATTAACCCTTTTTTGTGTAGAGTTCTGTGAGTTTTGATAGACATCATCATGTAACTGCCTCATGGTATGGGACAATTTCCTCACCTCCCATCCTGTCACCTTTTGTGTTTATTCACCACTCCCCGCTCCAGGGGTGACAAACATTTCTAGTCCCTCGGGTTCCTTAGCCCAGAATGGCATACAAGTGGAATCATACATTCTTTTCATAGCAGCTGTATTACATACTGTGAATGTGTCCTTGCCCAAAAGCTCAGAGAGACTGTTAAGATTTCCATCTGTTTAAAAGCAATAATTTTCATATGAATTCTCTTCCCCCCTCCCAAACTGGGGATTGAACTCAGGTCCTTGCACTTGCCAGGGAAGCTCTTATTCTACTGAGCCATCTCCCTGGCCCCTTTCCCAAGCTTCTAAGGCAGTGATTCTCACACTCCCGTGGTTGTCAGGTTGACTGGGAAGTGGACTGTGGGTTCTGTCTGCAGACGTCTGACTTCAGGGTCTGGGATGGAATTTGGGGCTCTGAGGTCCTGACAGCTCAGGTAGCGCTGCTGCTGTGGTTTCTGCTCCCCCCTTGGAGAAGCCCTGCTCAGCACCCTCCACCCCACGCACACACATCCAAGGAGCGCATGAAACCTGAGTTGAAAACAGCCAGGGCAGAGGACGAGTATTATGAAGATCTGTCTCTAAGACTCTGCTGTCACTTAGATTAAGAGTATTCTCATCTGCATGGTCTCTGACTAGGATGATTCTATTTTAAGACCTTTCAGCTTCACCCTGGTGCTGTTCTTCATGTTTAGTAAATCACATGAGCTGGCCAGTACTTTTTTTTTTATCAATTAGGCCATGTGTTAGATGATTTTTCCACCTGTAGGTTAATTGAGTAGTCCAAGTATATTGAGGGTAGGCTAAGCAAAGCTAAGCTATGATGTTCTGCAGCTTATGTGTACTAAATGCATTTTTAATTAAAAATTTTGGCTCATCATGGGCTTATCAGGATTCAACCCCATTGTATGTAAAAGAACATCTGAGTATACATCTATAAAAGTGCTAACACACGTATGTGCGCACACATATACACATGCATATATACTTGAATATTTTTCTGATCATTTCTCTTTTGGATTTTTTCTAAAGCCTACCTGGAGAATTAGTACCCCAAAGAAAACCTGATGAAACCTCTTCAGATTGTCACAAGCCAATTAATCGCTCAGCTGTGTCGGGGCCAGAAGCCTCCAGCCTCCCCACAAAGCAAGATTTGCCTCATGATGGCGCGTCCAAATTCCAGTAAGTCATTCTCAGGGCACCACCCCCTTGCTAGTCCCTGTGATGTTCCTGAGTGCAGCTGCAGTCCCAGGGGCCTCTGTGTCAGAGGAGGTGTTGGGCAGCGCTTGGGACAGAGCTGCTCAGTCCTCGTGCTTTTTGGGCAAATCCTTCGCAGGCAGCGTCAGTGCTGGTCTCTCAGTACTCACATTCCCTCTACTTATTAGGTCACTGTATAGCTTCCCCCAGAATGTTTGCGTTTGAGCTTCCACATATGATTGAGGGGCTCTGGTTGTTTTGAGGTGCTGGGGATTGGACCAGGGAGTCAAGCGCTATACCACTGAGCCATGACCAAACCATGGGTATTTTAAACCCATCCCTCTGCAGGAGAGAAAGCTGGTGATTTTCCTTTAAGACAGTAAGAGGTTCAGTTGTTTAATGGACCAAACTGTTTGTACCTGACAAAACCCTGTTAATTAATAGTTGCAGGGAACAGAGGCACTAACCAGTTTTTACAATCAAATCCTTAGAAGCCTGTTAGACCCTGAAAGGTCAAGCCAAGCTCTTTTTGCCTTATTTTCAACTGTTGGATACTTTTTCCTGATGCGGTGAGTCTGCTCAGGCATAATGACTCTTTCTGGTCTGCCCAATCTTGGGGATGGCAAAGAAGCAAAGGTGCCCATGTCCACTCCATTATCAGCTATGCCAGAGCCTGTGGTGGACGCAGAAGCACATGGCTGACTGTGGCCCACTGTGGGCCTTCTCACAACAGACTGGGCCTCATACCATGCTGCCAGTTTGCCTTCAGCACCTGGAAAATAGTAGTAGTAGGGGTTGCTCTTGTAGTACTGAGGTTGGACCCAGGCCTTAGGTGTGCTAAACAAGCACCACTGTTGAACTTTATTCCCAACCCTGAAAATTATTTCACACCTCATAGCATCCCTGTATCTTGTATTCTAGAACCAAACCTGATTGACCTTACTTGTTTGTAAAAATTGCTTTTAGAATGGTACCTTAATAGAGATCAGTCAGACCTGGGGATTGATGAGGATGTGTCAGTTGTCCCCTGGGATAGAAAAGCCCACTGGGTTGGGGTCGGCCAGATGGCTCAGCAGACTAAAGCATCTGTTGAAGCAGAGCACAGCAGCCTGGGTTTGATTCTCGGCTGCCGTGCCAGCTCTGTCCCCAGGGCAAGCTGAGACTCCCATTGAGACTGGGCATGGTGGTGCGCCTGTAATCCCAGTGCTTGGGAGGCTGAAAACAAGAGAATCACTACAAGACCAATCTATGTAGTGAGACCCTGTAGACTCTGTACAAATAAATAAATATCTTAAAAAAAAAAAAAAAAAGCCCACTGGGGCTGGTGATAGTTTTAGGAGTAAGTGATGACATCTTTAAGGGTGTTTGTACAGGTTGGACCCAGACTTCATACAGATAGTTTCTGGAAAAGTATATTTTCTTTTTCTTTCTCATTCATCCTTTCTCATTATTAATCTACAGTACTTGTGCCTTGTTCTCCCAGAAGATTAACCCAGATAAGAAACTCTGATCCACCCTGGGTGGGTTTCTTTTTCAAATTCCTCCTGGCTGGGCAGCGTTAGTCTCCAGAAAGGCCTTTTTTTTCTCATCTGTCTAGCTCTGAAACAGCCTTGAGGTTAGCTGGGTCTTTGGCACGACTGGCTAGGTGCTGGGTTGGTTCGATGAAGACAGCCAGCCTGAACATCCCCATTTCCCTCTGCCTGATGGTGCTGGGAGTAAGGGCCAGTGAGCTCTAGGAGTGTGGCTGGAGAGGACCTGGAGCACTCTGCTCTGTTCTGAGAGTCCACTCTTACCCTTTGTTCATGCTTGCCAAGGGTCCACTGTAGGGCAAGGGAAAGGGGATGGAAGACTAGGCTTTACTAGGGTCTCTATCCCAGATCGTGCCCAGTGTCTGGCTCTGGTTTAAGAGGACCTGGAGGTTCTTATCTCTGCCTAGAGGGCATCATCCACATGTTAGAAACCAGTGTGACTCCCTTACCAGCTAGGGATGCAAAAGAGGCCATGTTTCAGGTAACCGAGTTCAGTGTCTCTGAGCCCCATTCCGCTGTCTTTCCTCCTTATCCCCATTCTGCCTGTCATGGTTCTCCCAGGGACACTCATTGCTCTTGATTGGCCCTGCCTCTCAGGAGCCTGCTCTGGCTCGAATGAGTTCAGCCCCGCCTCAGCTGAAACCTTTCCACATCTGGGCCAGTACTGGGCCAGCACTTGCTTCACCTGGGAGGATGAAAGAGGAAGTCTTCTCTTGGAAGCTCTGTACCCTTCCACCTATACTGCAAGGTCCAGTGCATGCCTGCACACAGGGCCCACAAGAAGGCAAGGCTGAGAGGGAAGAGCTGTTCCAGCCAAAGGCTGCACATGCCTAGGCCTGTTTCCAAGAAACAACGGTAGCCCCATCTCCTGTTGCTCCAAGCCTGGTTCCTGATGCTGTCCTAGGATGAAAGCATTGGCTTCAGGGGCAAAGGCCACGTGTGGTCCCTGTGAAGTGCTTGGCATTAAACTGTGGCACAGAGGGCCCTCGCTAACCAGAGCTGCTGCTCCTTTTGCCTTGAGGGCTGCCTGGAGTGGAGGTTTGCCCAGTGACCATGAGTACCATTGGCGTGTCATTCTCGGGCCTCAGTCTGGTGATTCTTTGAGAAGATGCTTGACTCTGGTTGGAGAGTGCAAAAAAGGTTTTGCTCACGTTGGGGGCAAGATGCTTGTTTCTTGGGTGGGTAAGAGGAGCTTTAGTTCTGGGCTAGAAGATGGGGCTAGCAAGATTCCCATAGGGAAGGTGGGTTTGGAGAGGAATTCGAGGCTTTGGGATCTAGTGAGTCTGAGCTTGGCCCTCACACAAATACACAAACTTGCTTTGTATGAAGGAAGATGCATTTTTAGCCATCAGCCTTTTATAATCTGCATCACGCTCAGCTCTAAGGCAGGCACCATTGTGCATCTGAGAAAGAGGAGGTTAAGGAATTTCTCCAGATCACACAGTGACCAAACAACTCCTCTGGAGGCAGAGCTGAGATTCCAGGGCTTTAAGGCACTGAGGTGACATGGTGTCTTCATGGTACAGGAATGACTTATCTGCATATCTGAATGCGTAATTTCACACACAGTGAAGTATCAAACATAGACAGCTGTTCAGGGCATGAACATCTGAGTGGCACGCTGGACTGACACAGCTTTCGTTCTCCATCTAGATATGGCAGATTTTCGGAAGTGCTTTGCCAGCGCCAAGCACATAGTCATCATCTCTGGGGCTGGCATCAGTGCTGAAAGTGGGATTCCCACGTTCCGAGGAGCTGGCGGTTACTGGAGAAAGTGGAAAGCCCAGGTCAGTAGCATTTACAGGGCAGTGCCCTGGCCATACCGGGCTGACTGAGAGCCTATACAGATGCGCAGAGGGGAAACTAGGAAAGCAACAGTGACCCTTCTGTTCTGTTGATTTGGGCATCAACACAAAGCCCCTATGATTAAGGTCAGAAATGTAAGCAAAGCAATTACTTTCCTTTCCTGCTAGCTGTGAATAGGTTACATCTGTTCATGGAAAAAAATAAGTTTCTCCTGGTAATTGCCTTGGAGAGGAAGCAGAGCCAGAAGCAGTGGCACACACTGGTAATTCTAGCTGCTCGATTTTGAGTTTGAGACCAGCCTGGACAATTTAGAGAGTCCTTGTCTCAAAAATATTTTTTTTAGACGGCTGGGGATGTAGCTCATTGATAAGCCACTTTCCTGGCATGTCGCCTAGCATACTCAAGGCCTTGGGTTCAGTCCCTAGGATTGCAAAAGAAAAAAAAAAAGTAGAATCAGGAAATCCTAGCACAATTCATTATTTTTCTTTTTCTTTTTCTTTTTTCTTTTTTTTTTTTGGTTTTGGTTCCTCGAATGCCTTCAGGGCACTTTTGGCCAGCGGGAGAGTTGTGAGGTTCGAACTCCAGCAACCTGAGGCTGACAGCTTTGTGGAA